GCATTCTCCTTATTCGACAAAGACGGCGATGGCACCATCACAACAAAAGAACTTGGGACAGTTATGAGGTCACTTGGACAGAACCCCACAGAGGCTGAGTTACAAGACATGATCAATGAAGTAGATGCTGACGGTAAGTTTACTGCTGAAGAACCTTGTAAGCTAGGTTGCTAAACGTCTGAAGTCTGTGACAATGTTTTGCCAATCCCTATTCATGCAAAAGGAGGCAAGCTCTTGGCATTAATTACTGACTTGTGCCTGAAATTGGATAAAATCCTCCTGGAAAGATTACATTTTTCCATAGTGGCATTCTGACTTCCGTGGATCAACATATTAATGTACATATTAACTTTTTTATTCTTCCCAAGTGTTAAAGTGCTAAATAGTCTGTTATAGAATAGTTTTAGTGAAGAACCATTGAATCGGAATTTATTTTGTAGTTATGTAAAGCAGCAATGACATTTCAGAGGTTTTCATAAAGATAGAATTTCAGTTAAAAAGTATTATATTGAAATTCCAATGCAGGCAAAGATAATGTCTTGAGGCAAGGACAAGTGAATAGTGAAGCAAAAGCTCTATACTTTACCATAGCTATAAATTGCAAAGGCTAATGGGAAGAGGCATCTTACATGATGTCAAATACCTCACTGTATGAGTTCTTCCACTGAAGATCTCATGATATCTTTGTCTTTTTTTTATTTTTTATTTTTTTTGTTAAACACCTGTCTAGCGTACAACTATAGAATGGCTCCCAACAACTTCACTTGCCAACCAAATGTCAAGACCTTGCAATTGACTGCTTAAAAGGAAAATGGCACTCAGTAGTTTGTTTGAATTGCTCCTCTATAAGATAGACATTTTATACCATACCCCTATGTCTGAATTAAGTCCGTATCCTTGGCATGGAGACTTTGTGCACCACCGTGACAGCCAGGCACATATTGAACTCTGAATATTTGTAATATAGGAGCAGGTTTTAGGGTATTGTGTTATTCTTACTTAAGATATTGGATGCACTCATTCTGTGATGTTAAACCTTTGTTTTAGGCAATGGCACAATCGACTTTCCTGAGTTTCTAACAATGATGGCAAGAAAAATGAAAGATACAGATAGCGAGGAAGAAATCCGTGAAGCTTTCAGAGTTTTTGATAAGGTATCAAATATTCAGAAAACACTTAAAATATTTTCATTGACAGTCAACTGAATTTATTTCTAAGAATGTTATTAAAGTAATTGTCACTTTCAGTCCTTCGCTGGGTTGTTAATGAACGCTAGAAAAAGTAATATTAAAGTGAATTACATATTTCTGTATTTAGAAATTGCATATTTGATTTGGGAAGTCTGACTTCAGTTTGGTTATTTTAGCCTAAAATGTGATATTCACTTTAGGATCCAAAAAACTCAGTTAATGATGAAAAACAATGCTGCAGGGAACACTTATCAGTTAATATTACAGAATGATGGGCTTAATTGCCATTCTTGCTGTGCTTTTTGTGTTCCTATTAAAGCAAAAATGCCATAAGGCTGTGTGTTCCAACATCTTAAGGGCCTAATCCTGCATGGAGTGTTTGTACATAGCCCACCTATCTCCTTGGTTGCTGTAATGCTTATCTGATGTATGAGGTGCCTACTATGTAACTTATCAAGTATCTATCTTTATTCTACAGGATGGAAATGGGTATATCAGTGCAGCCGAGCTCCGCCATGTAATGACTAATTTAGGGGAAAAGCTGACAGACGAAGAAGTAGATGAAATGATCAGGGAAGCTGATATAGATGGAGATGGGCAGGTCAACTACGAAGGTAAGACTGGGCTGTTGTGGGGCACTTTATTTTAGTGAGAAGTATAGTTTGCACCAAAAACTTGCTTGAGATGTGTTTTAAAAGGTAAATTACCTAGGGTCATGTCTGAACTTGCCATCAGGTAATCTGTTTACACCTGCACTAGCTGTATGAAGTTGGCATTATTCTGTTTATGTATCTAAACCCAATGCCTTGGGTATGCCCATACTTTTCTACTTCCCAAAAGACCTAAGTCCTGCATAGAACACTGAATACAATATAGTAAATGCTTAGAGGGGGACCTTGTCACCCACACTTCTATTGACTGATCTCATTTATGGCAAGTTTAAATGACATTATCAAACCTTAGTGTCTTAATGTACTGCCTACTATCCAGACCTGCAGTCTGGCAATAATACTAGTAGACTTGAATGTTGTAAGAATGACCTTGCACTAGGTTGGAATTAATGTGGTAAGTGTGCAATTTGCAAGATGGAATAGATCAAAACACTCTATGCCGATTAACACCTGAATTCTATGCTCTTCATTTACAGAATTCGTACAGATGATGACTGCAAAATGAAGACTCCTCTTACCTGTTCCTCCCTCTAGAAGAATCAAATTGAATCTTTTACTTACCTCTTGCAAAAATGTTCATTTACTCATTCTGTTTCTGTATAGCAAAACTGAATGTCAAGAAATACCTTCTGTCCACAAAAACTCTGCATGTAATGGTTGGTGGTCCTGTCCCCAAAAGATGAGTTTAAACATCTGTTTTACAGTATATAAATACTTGTACTACCTTTAAACAACAAGGAAGCACTTAGGGGACTCCTTAAGTTCCATTTGCTAATGATTACTACACTGTTTGGGCTGGCCAGTTTTACATGCATGCAGCTTGACAATTGAGCACAGTCAGATCTTTGTATTTAAAAACCAACAAAAAGCAAAAAAAAATTAAAAATCCACTATCAGGTGGATTCTGTTTCAATTTGTAGTATAAATTGTCATAGCTGGTTTACTTTAAAATTGGTTTATACCTCAGGATGGTATGCAGCAAAATAGTTGAAGGGTGCAAATGTTGAGGAAAGTCCCTAATGGATGAGTGGCTCTTTTGTACTCGTTGTGCTCCCAAATCTGATCTTAACTAAGGATGGCATGTCCTAATATTGGTTTAACTTTGTTTGCATTGCACTAACGTGAAACGGGTGTCAGGCTGTTAGACGTTCACAACATTTTTCAGAGTAACTTTCAGAGAGGAGCATCTTTGGACTCTCATGTTTTTAAAATGTCTGTACCAGACTTGGAGCCGGCAGAGTAACCTTGTATCTACATAGGACTTCAGCACAACGATCAACATGGCTGTTTCAAGAAATTTCAATGTCCATTCCAAGTTGTAAAAGCTAGTCATTATTTTTGTTTTTTGTTTTTTTTCTCAATAAAAGACCATTAACGTAATTTTTTTGTTAACACTTTAATTTATTCATCCGTGTACAGATTGCTTTTCATTGTTAAGTAGTCCTAGCCATTCGTATTGTTTCTTTCCCTTGGTCTCCATTTATCGAGTAGTGATTCATTGGCTTGTGATCTCTGTACAGGCTATTGCATGTAAAACCTTTTATCAGTTGGGAAGGTAAGTGGTGTGATTTTTACACAACTGGTCCAGCAGCAGAGGTTTTAGTGAAGATGGCCTTATTTGTTTTTTTTACAGTGTTGCTTTTTGGGAAGTATCTGCTGAATATCACTAATGTTTGCATTGAATAGTTTTAACTCCTGTGAATTGATGAGGTCTTGGGCTTGGCACATGGAAAATCTCTTGCATGCACAACTTACCAGAACTGTAAAGGGTGTTTAGCTCTAAGTTGACCTGTCTGAGCAATAAAGAGGTGGATCCTGGGTATTACCGGCTTTGCAGCCTAGTCTGTGGACTTGCATACAATAAAAACTACTGTCATGTTTAAAGCCGCAATCCCAGTTACTTGGAGTGACAAATGGTGGGGTCTTCAAATGCTAGAATAGGAATCTTTGTGTAAACTTTTCTGCATGGGGTGCCCTTTAACGTTAACTGGCTTGAATTTATTGGAAAAATCTGGTATTTGCGGTCTTAATATGTTGGGGCGTATGAATGTTGGTTGTGAATCACGGGAAACTTAGTCAGCAACTGCTGCAGTGCCAAAGGTTAGCAGTCTTAGTGGGCATTGCAACCATGTGTACCTGACTGAAAAGTAAAATTCTATTTGCTATAACTTTACAGACCAGAGTTTAGCAATCAACACTTGATGTGCTTACCCATTGGCGCTGAAAGTTATTTTGCTCTACTGTTTAATGCAGAAGTACATCTAACAAATTACCAGTCCAACTGCAGTATAACTTGATCTAGTACTGGCCCATGTATATTGCCAGCAAGTTGCGAGGGTTATATGCACTTAACCTTTTTGAGTGCACTGTACAAATGCATGCAGTCTCCAGTTGTATTACGTTGTGGTGAATAATCCTATTCCCACAGTGATGTAAGCTTCCTCCCTTTCTTGGTCTCTTGTCCAGTAAGACTTGGGTTTGTAATGGAAACAGCTTTGTAAAAATATATCTATCCCTGAAATACATCTCATCACTTCATGTGGGTTTTATCATGGGAAATCAACTTGTATGACCTGTATGCATTGTGATACATTTTTGGAGTAACATACAACTACTGAATTCTTGCAAAGCCTGGGTTGCAAACGTTAAAAATAAACGGCTTAAACAGTGGCTTCACATTCTGATTTATGGCTGGAATCTGACTTAAAACAAACTCTAACTGCTGAACAGGACCTCCTTGTTTCTGTTTAAAGCGGATACCATCAAAGCTGCTTGACTGCAAATGAGCAATGTGTCTTGAACTTACGTTAACATTGGATTGTCGGACAGTATGTTGCCTCTCTGGTAGCATGGTGTGGTTAATGAATTTTTTTGCTTCACTTCCCATCTTTAACCTATTACAAACTACAATAGAAGTGCAGTAGCGTGGCTTCAACCTATCGAACCTGTGCCTGCACAATCTGGCAAAATCTAGTCCTGTTTTGAAATAGATGTGAGATGAGGTGGAAAGCTGTTGTATTGCAACTGAACTTAATAAATCAAATTTTAAAAAACAACTTATTTCGTGTTCATTAAGGGTGGTGTAAACTTGGTGACATTTAGAAGCTTTGAGATCTATATGTGCTGATGTCACGGAGGTCTGGAACAAAGGCTTCTGTCTGCTCTTTGTGTTTGATTATGCAAGTTGAGGTGCTTTGCATAACAGTGTGCGTTCAGTAGAGTCTGGGACTATAAGCTTTGCAATAGCCATATTTTACTAAAGGAGGCAAATGATTAAGTTTGATGTATTGTAGGATAACTCTTCCTACAGACAATCCAAAAAGCAAGCTAGATCACACTTCCATCTGTTGGAGGCACTATAGGCACCAGCACTAATTTAGCTTATCCCCTTAAGGACCAAACTTCTGGAATAAAAGGGAATCATGACATGTCACATGTCATGTGTCTTTAAGGGGTTAAAGGGACACTCCAGTGCTAGGAAAAGTTTTTTTTTTTTTTCCTGGAACTGCAGGTCCCCACCCATCCCAGTGACTTACCTGAGACCACTGCCGATGTCCCGCGGTGGTTTAGGGTCCGCCCACGCGAACTTCGGCAGGGGAGACCTAATGCGCATTAGACTTCCCCATAGAAAGCATTAAAAATGCTTTCCTATGGGTATTTTTGTGACTGGAGGTCCTCGCATAACGTGAGGACGTCCAGCGACGCTATAGCACAGAAAACCTGTGCTATGAACCAGGAAGTGCTCTCTAGTGGCTGTCTAGTAGATGGCCACTAGAGGAGTTAACACTGCAATAATTAAACTTGGTAGTGGGAGTTGGCACCCAGACCACTCCAATGGGCAGAAGTGGTCTGGGTGCCTGGAGTGTCCCTCTAATGCAGTTGGTCATATAGATCATGCCCCTGCAGTCTCACTGCTGAATTCTCTGCCATTTAGTAGTTTAATCACTGTTTACAGTAGTCACTCCTCCCTGCATGTGACTTACACAGCCTTTCTAAACACTTCCTGCAAATATAGATCTAATGTTTAAACTTTATTACACATTCTGGTTAATTTGGAATTGTATCCCCTGCTCTGTTAATAGCATTCCAGAGCCACCAGTGTGTGATTTAAAGTTCAATTTAGTGTATGAGATCAAATTTAAAAAGTTATCTAATTGGAATTTTTTTTTTTTTTTTTTTTGTGGAGCATATGATTCAATACCAGGGGAGGTGGCAAATAACTTGGCAGTACTTCATTAAGCTAAAGTTGTTCTTGTTCCTATATTATCACTTTAAGATTTCTGTCAAGGTTTACCAGTAGAAAATCAGTGGCATCTGAGGGATCCTCCTATTAAACACACTGGCTGGATTCATCATTTTAGTTAAACTAAAATGATCCTATCATTCATTCTGTCACTTTCTTGGTATTTGCATAATTTGCAAAGACCCGTGATAGTGTTGATGCACGGCGGCATGGGGATGCATCAGAGGTGTTGTACTTGATGCTGTCCCTTGTGGGCAATGTCATCTTTAATCTTCAGCTCCTGGTGTTCAGTCACCAGGATCCTACATCATTGCTGTACTCACATGTGCAAGAGTACAACACTGTCTATAAAGGAGACCACTGGAGCCTCCACAGATATCTAGTGACGAGTGAGGATATACCTTATTCCCAAAGTGACTTGGAAATTTTCCCTGGGGTTTAAAAGCATGCCTTTGAGTGACTCAGCATATGCTCTAAAAATAAAAAAATCTGCCGCATTGCAGTATTTAAAGGGGTACTCTGTACATTACAGAATTGAATTCTTTTAGTAGTTATGGTATAATGCATTTTAATTGAGTCTTTGTTTTGTGAATTTTTGAGGTGTGACAAATAGTACTCTTAGGTGCTTAGATGTTATAAAGTTTCTTACCTGATATCTTCAGATCCCTGGTTTAAGAGGGTTATTCAACGAAGTCCTGCAATGTATGTAACAGTGGTACTCTATAGCACCAAGATTTAGGAACTGTATGGTTAATTGTACATAAAACCTGGTTAGGGATCAGTTCCACCCTAAGTGATATTAAAACCTCTTAAAACATTAACCCTAAATGTTTTAATTGAAAGTGTCGTGAAAATACAAATGAAAAAGACCAACCTATGGGTAACTTTACTTATTTTGCAGGACCTGTGTACAGAGCTCTTAATGCAGTGTGCACACCTGTTCCCAAGAGATCAGGTTGACTATCTTTAGAAGGCCCTTCGGCTAGTTTGGCTTTTGTGCAAGTGAACTTCTGTCCAAATTCCGATGATAGGCTAACATAGGGTAATAGAACTCTCTAATGCATTCGTTTTAGTATCTCAAAGTATTTCACCAATGTCTGAACTGCTGAAACAAATTTTAAGCTAAAATAAAATCTGAAAGCATCAGATATTTTGGCTTGAAGTGTTTTACACCAGGATTTGTATAGATAGTAGTAATCTTTGAGGGGTGTAGGGAGGAGGGCCACATTTGTTTAAGGGTGTTTCTAATTTGGCTATTCTGGCCTGTCCAATTGCCTTGACAATTCCTGGCCAGCCACAGTTTTATTTTAGTTTATTTAAATTATTGGTCAATTTCCAAAGTGCTCAGAAAGCCTGCCTCTTCAATTTCTATTTTTTTTTTCTCTTCTAAAAGCAGAATCATGGTATGAATTGCCCAAATAAATGAGAAACCACAGCAGATGCAATGGCTGTTTTGACACCTGTATATAAAGCAATTGGTTCTAGAAAGTGAAAGTTCCCACTAGTTAAAAATCCAAATTTCATCTCTAATTCTGACAGTAATTATATGTGCTGGTATGGTGGCTTGAAAATATTGAAAACCTATTGCCTCAGGATCTTAGGTGGAGACAAATTGCTTGGCTTTATACTGTGTATATACAAATACATCTTGGCTCTCAGAGGCAAATGGCATTGTGCCCAAGTTAGGAGTGGTTGCTTGGGGATAATCTTAGCTCTGTGGCATATTGCGGTTTCTAACTCAAGGGATGTGCATTATGTATATCAAATGCTCATTAAACTGTTACTGTTCAAAATAATAAAACTGACTGGAATATTTAAATTATCTTTTTATCGATCACATAACATGTCCCATTTAATTCTGTCTTTATGGGACATTACAGGGTAAAGTTGCTGTCCATTTTTTTTTTTTTTTTTAACACCTTAAGGACACATGACGGAAATATTACGTCATGATTCCCTTTTATTCCAGAAGTTGTGTCCTTAAGGGGTTAAGCTCCATTGATAAAACATTCGCATATCAAAACAAGATTGTGATGTTTCTATGTTTTCAGCAAATCAAGTGTCGCCTACATGCTTTTTCCCCAGTCGAAAATGCAGAATGCTCACAGCCTGTCCTGTTTTTCTGTTCGTGATGATGAGGTTTGTAATTCAACAGTTCCAAGTGTTCAACAATGGAAGCGTGATTGAAACAAGAATGCCTACTAATTGGAGCCTTGTTGCTAAGTAGAGATGGCTTTTACCCACTCGTGAACACACAAATGAATTAAAATACGGGCTTCATCTTTAAGGAGAAATTGCAGTGTCATTAGAGTTGGTGTCACCCCACCCTCGACCTCCTATACCAGACCATATAAGATCCCCGGTAGCCCAGGTTTGAAGGTGTAGATCTTCATTGCAATTATCTGATAGTACCAGGTTACTCTTGCTATGACTTTTCACTCCTTGGAGAACATCTTATTGTTTACCATTTTGGAGTCAAGGTGTTTCTTCACAAATTTAGTCACAAAATTTGGAATCTCTTTCAATTAGGGATCAGCTGTAATGCCTTTGGGATCAGCTGTAATGCCTTTGGGATCAGCTGTAATAAAGATAGGAGAAAATATGAACTTGATGGTTGTGTGTCTTTTTAAGCCTATATTACGTAACTGTGAATTTGGCAGCACAGTGTGCCACAGCTTGTGCCATATTACGGCCAGTACTGTTTTTTTTTTAGTGTTTTCTGCATAACACACCTATTGTGCAGTGCTGCATTCCACGTCTTGTCCAGATTTAAAGCATGCTAGCCAAGGTTGGCAAGTATGGTGCTTGGACTAGCATGTGATGCAGAGTGCTACGAATATAGCTGGATTACCCATTAGGCGCCAAAGGCAGTACCTGGAGCCCACTGACCCACCAGAGCATCTACTGGACCACCACGGGCTGTATTATTCCTCCCTTCCTGTGAAAGGACACATAGGCACCATAACTGCTTCATCTTATTGAAGTGGTTAAAGTGTCTGTAATACCCTTTTCTGAGCTATGGGCATTGTTGGGGGGAACTTGAGTGGTTGAGGCCCTGGATCTTTGCAGTTGATAGTAGGGCTTTAGGATATGTGTTGTGTGTGGTGGGGGTTCTTTTTTTGCATTTTCCACCAGACTATGTTACAAAAAGTAGGATCAGTAAGATAGAGCTCCGCCAGGCTACTTAAGAAGTGGGGTTGGTTCCTCCAAGTGGCTGCTAGGAGAGGGTGCTGTGGAACAGAACTTTTCACTCCACTCTTAGTTGGTTCGTATGGTGGGATCACGTTGAACAGCTGGCCGTGCAGTATGTGCTTGTTTCTGGCTATGCTTTCATTGAGATCCTAAAGAGCATCCGCAGCTGTTCATGGATAGAGAGAAAAGAACCATGGAGGCTCATCCATAATGGCACTTGGGGCAGCGATCCACCACTTTTTATGTGCAAACAAAATTATTTGCAGTAGTTTAGAAACCATAACCCTACAGTATTTAGCGTCTGGTTTATGTAACGGATCGACGGGCCCCCCCGACTGGGTACCTCCGTTGAAGGATGCTCCTAACGTTTCCTGAGGACTCCAAGCATTGCAGCAGACACCATAACCACCGTAGACTCCTCCAGAGAGCAAGGCAGGAACAAGCTCTTACAAGAGCTTAGTAGTGATATAGCAAGGGAGTATGAATAGCATAGCAATCCCTTGTAGCAAATTCCCCCAATAAGAGACGGCACTCCAAATTGAGGATGAAGTAGAACTGAAGCTTTTAATCAAACACTGCTTTTATGCACATTTTACACACATAGTACTGCCCACAGGGTTTTGCAGAACAACCAATCAATACGTAGAATACACTCAGACACTCCCACACAAAATCCTCCCCTCTGCCTGTGATATAATTACTGAACACAATGGTCTAACTAAATTATCACAGGCAGGAAAATACACAGTTTTACACAATATTCATAACTCTAAAAGTATACATCACATTCACATTTTACACAAACTTACATTTTCAGAATCAGCATACTCCAAATACAAACATACGTCAAAATCATACAAATTGGTCAAGTGGGTCAAAAGTTAGTTGAAAGTCCCTTTGTGACCGTCTGCAAGCATGGCTTGGGTGTGGTAAGCCAATTACCTCCAGCATACAGAAAATAGCTCTATGCACAACAACAGTAAAAACACATAAAAATACATAATTCTAATTATACTTAACAGAACCCCCACATTCAACCTGTCACCAGATAGCTTGGATCTGAGCGCTCACTATATCCGAACAGCGCTCAGATACCACAAACACAGTTAAATCGCCATGGGGTTAAACCATAGCAACAAGTTCCAACTGGTCTGGCAGTGCCCCTGGGACAACGCCCTGCTGGAGAACAATAGACAGGAAACGGGGGAGGGGCACACCTTCTCATGTATTCAAAGGGGCAGAAAAATGCAATAAGCCCAAATAATGCTTACACAGGGCAAAGTCGCGCAGGGGCCGTAGCCAGAAGGCAGGAGGCGGGCAAACAGGCTTCTCCAAAAACCAGTGGCGAGGTTAGTTCCGCCACAGTTTCCATTTCTGTACATTTGCTTGTAACGTGACACTTGCTGAATGAGCAGTATGCTCCATTTGCTTTGTATGCTTGTGAAGGAATTCCACGATTGTGATTTACTTGGAGTCACACAACTCTTCCAGTCTTGGGCAATCCACATTTTTAAGAGCAATAAGTATTCTCATCTATCATTATTATAAAGTATTATCATCTTTCTGAAATTTAGGAGGAGTGCCTTCACTGCACTTAGGACTCCACCTAAGAGTAAGCAAATTCTCACAGAGGTCTTATGAAGGTTCTAAGCCACTAGACCGAACGTCCCTCTTCTGCAACAATTCCACCAGTATAGAGTTGGCATTTGGGTAAATTTTTGCTAATTTTGCAGGTACTAGGGGCCACCGATTATTACTTTTATTAAGAATGTCTTTATGCTTAACACATTTGGTAAAGCTAGCATAGTTCTTCTGTATTATATTCCAGTCTTCCAAAGAAATCGAGTGACCTATCTTTTTCCCACAGTTTTTGAAATGAGGGTAGGCTTGGTATGTGCAATAGCTGTTATAAAAAATAGAAATGAAACCCCTGGACTCTGAAACCTGTAAGCAGGAGTGGCAACTCATTATTTTGGGACTCATTCACTACATTTCAGAGCTTGGTGACGGAATCCCTTGAAGAATAAAGGCCACAGAGGAAACTGTGTTACTAAAATATATCAGACAATATTTGCATCCGAGACTCTAATCCCAATGCAAAGTTCACCTGGTATTAATGATCTATAGTATATTACCACGCTGGCACAAGTACGTCTAAATGGCTGGGTATCCTAGCAACATTGCAGGACCTTATACGTTATCTGCAGGAGAACATCCTCAAGGAAACCAGTGTGCCTACAACCTGCTTTCCAGGTGGTACAGAAGATCTCAGGGGCACAGTGCTATCTTCCATGCATCTTCAGATCTTTTCTAGAGATTCTATAGGAAAGTGGGCACATTTCAGCATATGTGGCAGGACTGTTGCTTAATACACCTATACTAGCAGGTAGTTATTGGGGTTCTTGATCAGATGTTTTATGGAACTTTACTCCTACCTCTGTGACTTTCCTTCACAACATTGCAACATGCCCTTACATCAATAATTAATAATGACATTTGCACAACATAGATAAGGCAATAATTCCTCTATATCGCACGGATATCTCACCCCTTTGCATTCTGGGATGGATTCACAAGGTTGGGGATATCAGGAACATAGAGGACCTAATTTTGCCTCCTAGTGATTTATCCTCAAGAAGAGTCAGTTAAATCACCACCTTGGGGGTCGTGGTACCAGTTCTTGGTATCTGAGCTATTCTGTACCTTAGTCATTTCCACTCCTCACTTTCCTAACCAACCAATAGATTCCTTGATTACCCTCTTTTGCTATTCTGGACTCCTTAAGGTCTTAACTGCTTGTGTTTTTCTTCCTTTTCTTTTTGCATATGATGTGACGATTTGGTTCTTGTCTATTTTTCTTAATTTCACTGTTGTCTACTGCCTGATACCAGTACAAAGCGTTCGCTTTTTGAGTGATACCATCCCATCCTAAACATCCTCCTGATTACAAGGCCTCTATTTCTATGCATCTCCTTGCTTATAATAGTTATATGTATGATAATTTTCCCTATGCTGCAGTATGTTTTAAGTCTGTCTATTATACTCATCTGTTAAAACACTCTGCTTACACTTGTTAGTATAACTTTCGTTCTTAGGCAGTACCTTTTTAATTATAATAACTTTATGTCCGCACTAAGACCAGTACATGTCTCAGATTAACCAACTACTGACTATCATCTGCAGACATGGCCCTTATCTTGTTTTCTTTTTCTTATATAAAATGAGTTTATTACAAGCATGTTTATTATAAAAATTGGGCAGTCTATTCTCATGCCATACTACTGTTCACTTTGAGTTACCAGTATCTGCTGTAGTGGCATTACCGGCATGTCTGTACCTTTTATTTACAGCAAAAATAAAGAATTTAAATAAAATAAAATAAAAAACATCCTCAAAAAGAAAACAAGAAAAAAAACAACCTTTGTATGTCCATATAGAATTTCAGAATGATGTAGTTGAGAATGTATAAAAATACCATATTTCAGCAAAATTGGAAGTGCTTCAAACTGAAGTTTTTTTGCCTTCTTTTGGATCAACAGCAAAAAACAAATATGGAAGACTGAACTTGATGGACACATGTCTCTTTTCAGCCTATGTAACTATGTTGCATTAACGGGTCACTATAGGGTCAGGAACACAAACATGTATTCCTTATCCTATAGTGTTAACACCACCATCTAGCCCCCCTGGGCCCCTCATGCCTCCATAAATATAGCAAAATCTTACTGTATTCAAGCCAGAAGCTGTAACTCTGCATGCTATTTGTCTCAGAAAAAACAAGCAGTCTGCTGACATCATCAGAAGTGGTAGCCTGAATCAATCACAGTGCTTCCCCATAGGATTGGCTGAGACTGACAAATATGCAGATCAGGGGCAGAGCCAGCATGATTCAAACACAGCCGGTACCGTGCAGGTTATTGAGTGCAGACTTGTTCCTACAATCCAGGCTTCCCCAAACTCTGGCCCTCCAGATGTTGCTGAACTACAACCCCCATGATTCTCAGCCTATATATTTAATTCATAGAATCATGGGAGTTGTAGTTCAGCAACATTTGGAGGGCCGGAGTTTGGGGAAGCCTGCTACAATCCTTAAATTTGTGATGGACTTGATAAACTAGATTGTCCGCATTCTGACTTTGTGGAATAATAATCAAATTTATTTTTTAGGCCAAATAGCCAAATTTAAATAAAAGAAATCCACTATGGTCTCAGTTCTGCAATTATGGCTACACAATCAAAAATTTACTTGAGTTTATTCACTAAAATTTGAATTGTAGCTAAATTTAGTCTAAAGTAGCTGATCAGGAAAAATTCTCCAAATCTGCTATAGTCACAGCTCGGCTACTGTAGACTAAATTTTGCCATTTGGATTTCTGATTGTTGCAGATCGGTGAGTGAGGAGGGTACTGTACAAAGCATGTATGCACAAGTTATTCTGGATATGATAATGAAACTAACTTGGTGTGTTCCTGTAAATGGTATGCTCCAAACCGCAAGCATTGTTGGTAGGGATGCCAAATCTACCATGTTTTCTGGACACACATCACATATTTCTGTCCAAGGGCAGCACAAGAAAAGTGTTGACCTGTATTATGTACCAAAAGTAAATAAATTAAGCAATGTACTTCCCTTAATAAACCGATTTTCTTTTGTGCGGCATGGAACATGCTGATTTTTAAATTAAATTTTTCACAGAAAGTCTGTGTTACCGTATCCACCATGTATGTTTTCCTTTGACACAAATCAGCTCTACATATCCATGGGCAAAACTGCTGCCCTTTGATATACACAGGTTTATTCATTATAGAGATAATTCAACATGAATCTCAAATTTAAGGCCAAAATAGCCAAATTGGTGACATTCTCCAAGTCAGCTACTATGGCCTTAAATTTAACGTTAACAAAAACGTTAACAAAGTTGTCTTTTCTATTGGATTCACAAATCAATTTCCTCCATGACTCAAAAATGCTACATACTACAGATCAGCACTTTTCATTTACACCCCATCACCATGAAAGAGTCAACTCTGTCCAAGAAAATATAGTAGGACTGCCAAAAATAATTTATCCTCCTCTGTACAAGGGGCACTGACTATATTTGAGTTCCAGCTGTATCCTAATTAGCTGGAAACCCAGCACTGTCAATCAGAACACACCTTGGATCACACATGGTTCTGTTTTTTTAAGCCTCCTCTCTTTTCCTGCAGCCTCTCTTAAATGCGAGGACTTCTTTGCAGTATGAAATACATAACATGCAGTCCCACAACCTTTATGCATATGATTAAACGTACTACAGTGTGCTGTGACAAGCAGAATACACTGATAATGAGAAATTACTACCAATCAATATATTTCATCTGTCCTGCGGTCGTGGACAGGTAAGGATTGTTCCATATCTCACTGCATTACAATTAAGATTTCAAAGTTTGCATTACAGATTTTGAATGTTACAGTTAAAGGTTCACTTTTAAATACGATTGTCAATCAAAGAAGTGGCATTGCAATTGTACAGCTGTCTTAATCGATTACTTTTTACTGATTACATTTACTATGTGGAAGGAAGCTTGCTGTGAGGACGTTTAGTGATTTGCCTTGTTAGATGTGGCTGTACAGACAGTTAGGGTTGCCATATCCACCATGTTTTCCTGGACACATACCCCTTTCGATGGGCAGCGAATGAAAACATTTGCCGTATGTAGCACTTATATGCTGCAGGATTCCTTGAATAAAGCGTTTGAAAGTTGCATACGTCCGGCAGCACTTATCATGTGCTGTCCCACAATATGTTCTGTACAAGTTTCCAGAAAAATATGATCGATTATGCAATACTAGTGTACACTAATGTAGCTGTCATTAGTACGCTGATGCAAAAAAAGTCAAATTTTCCTGCATGTATTACTTTTGATATTGCTGTCTCTTTCTACCTGGTACATTTAACACCTTGTATGTCTTTCAGTTAGTACTGCAATGGAAGTATTTTCATACAATTACATTGCAGAACCTCCCATTGGTTTTCCTGGACTTGCAACACTTTGTTGAATGGTAAATGGAATGTGTAGCCTTAGAACATGCATAATTAACTTGTTGCAAGAAAGAAATCAATTTATCAAGAAGAGATCACAAAGTTACTGCTTTTTAAGCATTATTGCGAAACAAATCTTAGAATTCTCTCTTTCGAGGGTTATTATATTGTGTTGACTTATCCTTTACCCAGGGCAAGATTATTTTGCACCCTAGGCCTTACTACTACTCTATTTTGCACCCTTACTACTGCTCTTCCCCCTTCCCCCTCCAAAAAAGGGCATGTTGTGTGTCTCTTTCTTCGCCCAGCACCTTTATGTGTGTGTATCTACCCCAACTCTATTGTGTGTCTATTTTTCTAACGGGGAGACCTGATTGTTAGTGCATTAATTGGGCCGTGAAGAGCCTGGATGATTATGGGGAGTTTCTATATTAACTGTCAGGTTACTGCCCTGTAAAGGATTAATATGACTGCCATTCTGGGGTCAAGAGGGGTTTTTACCCCTAGTTTGTTGCAAAATTTGGAAGTGCTTCAAACTGAATTATTTTTGTCTTGTTTTGGATCAACAGCAAAAAAAAACAAATATGAGGAAGGCTGAACTTGATGGACACATGTCTCTTTTCATCCTATGTAACTATGTTGCATTAATTTTAGATGAGTTATGACCCACAGCCCTTCTATGTGCCTCTTTACCTCCCCTACCCCCAACCCTTCTGTGTGTCTTTGTGCTTACCTAGCCCTTCTGTGTACTTCTGTCTGTCTCTCCCCCTCCCCTATTGTGCCTGTTGACCTTCATGTAACGTGACCAGACCGTGGTAGAGGATCTGCTGTTTCCTCTACCCGAATTGAGCGAGAGCAGTTTGTTGCTCTCTGTGAGCACTTCCTGTCAGACCGGGTAGGATGCAGAAGGTCCTCCACTGCAGTCCGTTGCTTGGTCATGCTACGTGCACACTACATGCGCTCCCCTCCTACTGGTCACCCAGACATTGTGTGCCCTAGTTGACTACCTAATTCGCCAAGCAGTCACTTTGGCCCTTCCTTTACCATAAACAAATATGTATTTGTAAGATTTGAAAAATTCAAATTAAAACTAGAAATTCAAATATTTCTCTCTGGGAACTGGGTATTTCAATATTGGGTCCTTTTTGATCATTGTTATAAACTCTGCCCTTTTGTAGTAGTCAATCAGAAGGGGATGGTAAGGAGAAGCAGAAAAATTCACTAAAGTGAAAATGCAAAGTAAATTTAAAATACACTAGTGTTAGGAATACAGATCTGTATTT